TGCAGAAGGAGTGGTTGGCATTTGCCCATTTAAATATATATTATATAAGTTCATTAATTTCTTAAAACATCTTATCACACATAATTTTATATATATATATATATAGGGATAATTACACTTTTGGTCCCTATACTTGCCACCTAAAACGATTTTATTAGTCTTTAAATTTTGAAGTTCACGAAATTTGTCATCAATCTTACCACATTTTGATACTTTTGACTCGGTTGTCAACTTTCCGAGTTAACTTGGACAGTAATGTCATGTGCGCCTGAAGTGACGTCTAAGGGGCAGTAAAAAATCCAACTGGAATACACTCAATCCATTTGGCAGCTTTCCCCAATTTATATTCTCAAATCCCTAATTCCCTTTGATTTCATTTCAATTGAATTGGAGCCGAATGTCACGGCCCGCTAATTTTGACCCAACCCCTTGCCAGTTTCCCTTGGGTTGGGGAGGTTAGGAAGACCAAGACTTAGCCCAAATAGGGTTAGGCCCAAGTTGGCCCATATGTATAGAGGTAGGTAGAGGTAGGTGGTGGTAGGTAGAGACATTTTAGGGATTCTTTGGAGTGTTCCACTCCCGACCGTTAGATCATATCGATCTCCACCGTCCATTGAGGAGGTAGTCTTGTATAAATAGAGGTAGGGTACTCATTTGTAATCATCCAACATATCCAACATATCCAACAAATACAATAAGCACTCAAGCAATAGAGTACTTTCTTACCAACTCTCTTATCTTCTTAATTTCTTTCTTCGTTTCCATCACTTAAGTATTCGCAACACATTCGGGAGAGGCTGACTTAGCTATCGCGAGGGGCGAGAAGGAGCTAAGGCCGCACGGTTCTTTGTTAACTGAACAAGTCCGTGACAAGTGGTATCAGAGCCCGGCTAAGGGCTTTGTGTTGATCGAATCCTCAACGATGGCGAACGTTGAAGATATTTCGTACGTAACCGAGGGACGTGGCAGGAAGGCCCAAGTAAACAACAAGAAGAAGAGGGACCACAGCAAGGCTCGTGGGGAGAGTACCGTTAATGAGGCTGTGCTAATGGATCATGGCGAAAGACTCGAGAGGCTCGAGAATAACGTCGCCATAGCGGAGCTTAGCGAACGATTCGAGAAGCTCGAGCACGATACAGAAGTGTTGGAGAATCACGTCGCCGAGCAACTCGATTTGTCTAGAGACAATGAGGCGTTGCGGGAGGAACGGTTGGATCGATTAGAGGCCATCATCCAATCCCTCCAAGAGAGCATCGAGGGGATGCGCGACGACTTGGCCTTGTGCAAAAAGGCCGCCGCTAACGGGAGCACTGGCGTTGCTTCGAGTTCAAGGGTGAACTGCCCGAAGCCAACGGGATTCAACGGCGTAAGGGACGCCAAGGAAGTCGAGAACTTCATATGGAGGATGGAGCAATATTTCGAGGGTATCGGTCTAGTCGACGAAACGACTAAGGTAAGAACTGCTTCCCTTTATCTTTCCGATACAGCTATGTTATGGTAGCGTAGAAAGCACGCCGATATCGAGAAAGGCGTTTGCCGAATCGATACTTGGGAAGAGTTCAAGAGGGAACTCAAGCGACACTTCTACCCGGAGAACGTCGTCTATGAGGCTCGAAGGAAGTTGAGGGAACTCAAGCAACGAAGTTCAATCCGCGAATACGTGAAGGAGTTCACCACCCTCACCCTTCAAATTCCCAACCTTTCCGAGGAGGATCTCCTTTTCCACTTCACCGATGGGTTACAAGGCTGGGCCAAGCAAGAACTCCACCGACGAGACATATAATCCGTCGATGAAGCTATTGCCGCCGCCGAGTCTTTAACCGAATATCAACCGAGAGAGCCGTTGCGAAAAGAGAAGTGGAACCCGACTAAAGGCGGAGAAGTGAGACGGGACTATCGAGACAACCGAGACCCAAGGCGAGCGTCAACCTCGAGGGGAGGAGACAAGCCATTCTCATGCCATCAACTTGAAGAAAAGAAGAGGTCGTTTGTGCCTAAGGGAGGATGCTTCGTGTGCAAGGGGCCGCACGCGATGAGTCAATGTCCCAAGATGGGGTCATTGTCGGCACTCTTACAACAAGAGGCCGAGCAAGGCACAAACGAGGGGCTAGGCAACATGGGATCGCTCCAACTTCTGAACGCCTTAAAGGCTAATCCGATGCCGGCAACATCAAGCAAGGGGCTGATGTACGTGGAGGCCCGCATCAACGATACCCCAGCAAAGGTGATGGTGGACACGGGAGCAACCCACAACTTTATCACCGAGGACGAGGCCAAGAGGGTTGGCCTATGGTGGACCAGACGAGGCTCAAGGCCGTTAACGCTAAGGCACAACCGCTCAACGGTGTAGCACGAGACGCGGAGCTACACTTAGGCACTTGGAAGGGCCAAGTGGATTTTTCGGTAGCACCGATGGATGACTTCAAGGTGGTGCTAGGCATGGACTTCTTCCGCAAGGTAATGGCTATCCCGATGCCTTGTTTCAATTCGGTTTGCATCTTAGAGAAGGGGACACCTTGCATGGTGCCGGCCATCAACGGCACCACTAAGGAAGAAAGCACGCAACCAAGGCAACTGTCGGCCACGCAAGTTGCCAAGGGAGTTCGACGGGGCGAGCCGACATTTTTAGCCGCTTTAAAGGAGTACAAACGGGGGAAGGTGAACGTTGTGGCCGATACTTTGAATAGAAAAGCCGAACTCGTAGCCATTAGCTCGACAAGGGGGAAATTGGCCGACATGATCCGAGAAGGGCTCGAACATGATCCCATGGCCAAGGAGCTAATCCGACTCGTCAAGGAGGGCAAGACGAGGCAATTTTGGGTAGAAGACGGCCTACTCTACACGAAGGGACAGCGACTCTTCGTTCCGAAGTGGGGCAGCTTGAGGAAGGACCTCATAAGGGAATGCCACGACACCAAGTGGGCGGGGCATCCGGGCCAAGGGCGGACAATGGCGTTACTCGAGACGGCCTACTTTTGGCCTCACATACGGGACAGTGTCGACACATATGTGAAGACTTGTCTGGTGTGCCAACAAGACAAGGTGGAGAATAAGCAGCCGGCAGGGTAACTTGAGCCACTCCCAATCCCCGAGCGACCATGGGAGTCGATCTCAATGGACTTCATTAGTGCCTTGCCGAAGTCCGAGGGGGCCGGATCTATCATGGTGGTGGTAGATTGCATTTTAAAGTACGGGACGTTCATAGCTTGCCCGAGGGATTGCACCGCGGAGGAGGCAGCCCGGTTCTTTTTCAAGAACGTCGTCAAGTATTGGGGACTACCGAGGAACATCATAAGCGATCGAGACCCACGCTTCACGGGGCGATTATGGACGGAGCTTTTCAAACTTTTAGGGTCCGAACTTTGCTTCTCGACGAGTTTTCACCCCCAAACCGACGGGCAAACGGAGAGAGTGAACGCCCTACTCGAGTGCTACTTACGGCACTTCGTGGGAGCCAATCAAAAAGATTGGGCGAAGCTCCTCGACATGGCTCAATTCTCGTACAACTTGCAGTGGAGTGAAGCCACGGGGAGGAGTCCATTCGAGCTCGCAACGGGACAACAACCGCTTACGCCGCACACTTTGGCTATGGCAACCGATGGAAGGAGTCCCGGAGCATTGAAGATGGCTAAGTCGTGGGAGGAACAAGCCGACTTAGCCCGGGCATGCCTTGAGAAGGCCAGACGACGAATGAAGAAATGGGCGGACGACAAACGACGACCACGGGAATTCGACGTTGGGGCCCAAGTGATGGTGAAACTATTGCCCTAACAATTCAAGGCATTGAGGAGCATGCACAAGGGACTTGTGCGAAGGTACGAAAGACCATTCCCGGTGATCGCCAAGGTCGGTAAAGTTTCGTATCGTCTATAACTTCCAAGTTCTTTGAAAATTCACCCGGTCTTCCATGTGAGTATGTTGAAGCCTTATCACGGAGACAAGGAAGACCCGAGCCGAGGAGAGTCGCACCGAGCACCACCCATCATGACTAAGTCATACGATAAGGAGATCGAGGAAGTGCTCGGCCGACAATTGAAGCGACGTAGGGGAGTTCCACCGAGTATTCAATACCTCATCAAATGGAAGGGATTACCCGAGTCTGAGGCAACATGGGAGACGAAGGAAGACTTGTGGCAATTTCATGATCGTCTCCACTTGTTCGAGGCAACGAGGACGTCGCCGGATTAGGCGGGGGAGGATGTCACGGCCCGCTAATTTTGACCCAACCCCTTGCCAGTTTCCCTTGGGTTGGGGAGGTTAGGAAGACCAAGACTTAGCCCAAATAGGGTTAGGCCCAAGTTGGCCCATATGTATAGAGGTAGGTAGAGGTAGGTGGTGGTAGGTAGAGACATTTTAGGGATTCTTTGGAGTGTTCCACTCCCGACCGTTAGATCATATCGATCTCCACCGTCCATTGAGGAGGTGGTCTTGTATAAATTGAGGTAGGGTCCTCATTTATAATCATCCAACATATCCAACATATCCAACATATCCAACAAATACAATAAGCACTCAAGCAATAGAGTACTTTCTTACCAACTCTCTTATCTTTTTAATTTCTTTCTTCGTTTCCATCACTTAAGTATTCGCAACACATTCGGGAGAGGCTGACTTAGCTATCGCGAGGGGCGAAAAGGAGCTAAGGCCGCACGGTTCTTTGTTAAGGGAACAAGTCCGTGACACGAAGGTCAGGATTGTGGGTGAGTTAAGTCTGGGAGTGAGGGAGGATCAATGGGCGCCATTTTTTTTTTCTTTTTCCAGTTTTGCAGATGTTGATTTTCTTGTTATGTTTTTTGACGGAGGAGAGTGGTGGAGAGGTGGAAGACGACGGGAGGTGATGGAGGAAATGACATATTTTAAGTTTGAAAGAAAATTAGGCATTAAATATTTGGAAAAGAAGATGTGAAGTTTAATTCCAGCTCATTTTTAGGGTGCGAAGTGGACGTTACGTGAGGCTCACATGACCGTCCCATCCAACTTAACAGGAAACATTGACGACAAAGCAAAATTATTAAAAATTGGTAAGAGTGAGGACTTTTTTTGTGAATTTATAAGTTTGAGGACTAAAATCATTTTAGGTGGCAAGTACATGAACCAAAAGTATTATTATCCCATATATATTATCTTTCAAAATTTTGTCTAATAAAAGATTAGTAGCTTTTCAATTCTATAAGATCCAACAAGAATTAGATTGGTATGTTATCTATTTTATGGTAAATTACAACTGGGGGTGGGAACGAGCCGAGCTCGGCTCTTTTGGCCAGCTCGAGCTCGAGCTCGAGTCCATGTTGCCGAGCTCGAGCTCATCGAGCCAATTTTTTTTGGCTCGAGCTCGAGCTCGAGCCAATTTTGGCAAGCTCGAGCTCAGGCTTATTTAATTTTTTTTTTTTTATTAGTTAATTTTTTTATTAAAATCATTTTATTTTTTTATTAATATTATTTCTATTATTATTATTATTATATTTTTTATTATGAACTCTAGTTATATATATTTTTTATTTTTTCTATTATTACTATTATTATTAGTACTATTATTATAATAATATTTTATATTATTATGAATTATTTAAGTAATATAGATTTGTTTCTATTTAAAGACTAGATATATTTATTATTATAGACTATTTACTATTTAGTTAATAATAATAATAATAATAATAATAATAATAATAATAATAATAATAATAATAATAATAATAATAAGAAGAAGAAGAATATGTATATGATAGCTGAATATATATGCATATATATATGATGTATATGTATATATATATATA